TTTGCAAATTGGCAAGACACCAGTAAGTGAAAATCAGTCTCCCTGTCCGCTTTGCAAAGAACACACCAATGAGGTGACAAACAAGTATTGGGTCTCTTCTTTTGGAGCAAATCCCCAGTGTTGAATCTTTCCAAATAGGCTTCCCAACAAAAACTACCAACCCTAGGAAGAATCGGTCTGCAAAAAACCTCACTAACCGGGAAAGGGGAGGTTGTAGGACTGGTAGACTGGAAAAGGACTTTGAAGAAGGAAGCGCAAGGAAAAGAGCCCGTGGAGGTGGGGGTCCAAATTCTAGAGTCCACCTTAGAAGGGTCCAAGAAAACATTATCAAGAAGTTCAAAGAGGCTTGAAATACTATCAAGGTCTGAATCCCTCACAGCCCTCCTCAGACCCAAGTTCCACCCAAACCCCGAACTGGAAGAATAAGGGGTGATAAAAGAAGAATCTGGCTCATTTTTAAATTCAGAAAGAGCATACAAAGAAGGAAACTGTTCCTTAAGAGGAACATTCCCCACCCAAATATGTTCCCAGAATTTTATGGAATTACCTGAATTCAAATCATACCTGACATGAGGGGAGAAGACTGGAAGTAAATCATGAATGGCTTTCCAAGGTGAAGTGCTTGTGGTCCTTGCTCTGATTCTAGCATCCCATCCATCTTGCTCCAGCCCATGTATGCTTGCCACTATTCTAGCCCATAGCTTCTCCGGCTCTAGAGGGAACCTCCACAACCATTTCCCCAAAAGGGCCGAATTCCTTATCCCAATGTTCCCAAGCCCCAAACCCCCATAGTTTTTACTTCTGGTCACCACCTTCTAGCTAACCTTGTGGTCCCTCTTCTCCTCTCCTGGCTCCCAAAGGAAACCTCTCATCAACCTCTCCAATCTACTACAAACTTTCCCTGGAATCTTAAACACTAAAAGAAAATAAATGGGTAAGTTTGCTAACGTGGCCTTGATAATTCTCTTTCCAAGAGACAAGTCTTTTTTCAAATCTTTCCACCACCGGGTTCCAGAAACTCTCTCTCTTAGGATTATCACCTAGGGGCAACCCTAGATAGTTCAAAGGCCACCCTAGTACCTCTACACTCTCCCTTATCTCTCTCTCCTCCAGATTCACCCCCACTACACAACTCTTCCCAAAGTTCACCTTCAAATTTGACATATGCTCCAATAGCTGAATCACCAGTTTCAGGTTCCTGATGAAGCTCACATTACCTCCTTCACAAAACAGGATCGTATCATCAGCAAACTGTAAGTGAGTGAGTGGGATGTCCTCCCTTCCAACCCTCAAACCTCTAATGAGACCCCTAGAGTCTACCCTGTGGATCAACTTCCCCAAAACATTAGCAACCAGTAAAAACAAAAAAGGAGATAAGGGGTCTCCCTGTCTTATACCCCTAATGGCTGGGAAGAAATCTACCACTGTCCTATTCACTAGCACTGAATAATGACAATTCCGAACACAGCCCATGATCCATTTGCACCATCTGGCCCCAAATCCCATTTTGATCATAAATTTCCTTAAGAATTCCCAATCCACCATGTCATAAGCCTTCTCCAAATCCAACATACACACCACTCCCTTCTTTTTATCCTTCTTGAAATTCTCCACACTCTCATTGGCAATGAGGATTTGATCTGTGATTTGTCTTCCACTTACAAAGGCACCTTGATTTTGTTCAATTATGTCTAGCAATACCCGCTTCAGCCTCAAGGATAACACCTTTGCAATAATCTTGTACAGACTATTTACCAAACTGATTGTTCTGAAATCTCTTCGATGCAAAGCTTCTTTCTTTTTCGGAATCAAAGCTACAAAAGTGGAATTCACCCCCCGGATTAACAATTCCTGACCTATGAAATTCCTCAAAAACCATGAGAAAGTCATCTTTCAAAATGTCCCAACAATCCTGATAAAAAGCCATTGTGAACCCATCTGGCCCTGGAGCTTTTGTTTTGTCCATAGAAAACACAGCCTCCTTAATCTCCTCCAAGTCAAAGTTCCTTTCCAAACTCCTCCTATTATCCCCTCCCCCACTACATCTGCCCAGTCCAGACCTTCAACCCACACCCTTCCATTTACAGGCCTTCTTAGAATGGATTTAAAATGTTCCACACATACCCCGGCTACCTCCTCTTGTTGAGATAACTCAATTCCATCCACCACCAATTTGGAAATGAAATTTCTCCTTTTTCTTCCATCTGCCAGAGAATGAAAGTACTTGGTGTTCATGTCTCCCTCTTGCAACCATTTACACCTAGATTTTTGCCTCCAACTTATCTCCTCCTTATGAAGGCAATCCTCTAATAGGCTTCTCAAGCCCCTTCTTAATTCATTGTCTTCCTCTCCAAGTTTTCCCCTTTCTTCTTTAGAGTCGAGGCTTTCAAGTTGGTCCACCAAATCTCTCTTTCTTTCTTCTATCCTCCCAAACTCCAAAATATTCCACTCCTCAATCTTTGTTTTCAGGAATTGTAATTTCTTATGAAATCTCATCCCCTCCCATTCCACCAAGGGGTTACACTCATTCCACCACTCCCCTACTCTACTGGTAAACCCTGGATGGAGTAACCACATGTTTTTAAATCCAAAGGGGGCAAGTCCTCCACTCATTCCACCACTTCCTTGCATAACCACATGTTTTCAAACCTTGTATATTCCCATTGTACAGGATCTCATTGTACATGGGCTGATGTTATGTTTTCCTCATATATTAATGCAATAAAATACTTTACCTATTTCAAAAAAAAAAGTTATAGAAAACAACCTCAAAAATACTAGAAGAGAGTAGCATAAGTAGAATCATAATCAGCGTAGTTCTTATGCAGTAGATTAAGTGTAATTTCCCGCCTAGAGTTTCAGTTTCTGATCCTTGGCCATTGGGAATACAAGATTGAATATGATAATCCAAACAATCAGTAACTAAAGAGTCCATGTTTCAAAGAGAACATTACAGACATAAGCATCATTTTTGCATCACTGCACAAGCCATATGACACCCATTCTGATCCAACAGAATCTTGGGATTTAGTCATAATTGTAAGCACTTAGAAAGAAGAACCAAGAATATCAATCACAACTTTTAACAGAACCAGAAAGGGAGATCAAGAATGCCAATAGATCACTGGAACAGTGTACCTCAATCTGGTGCTGAATAAATCTTTCTCTAGCTTCCAGATGACAACCTTCTACATTTACATCAGTTCCCAGTCTCTGCCCTGTAAAATTAGTACTAATCGCCTGGAAAGGGATGAATGGGTAGTGTGGAACCTGAGGATATGTGAAATTTAACTGTCCACCAGGGGTTGCAAATTGTTGTTGTTGCAGTTCCCCAGAAGCAGTTCTATCTCCAGTTGAGTCCATGGTACAGGAGTTTGCCGAAGGCATACACGTCAGGGGAAGTAAAGAATATCCAGGGTACCTGTTTGTAAGCAGAAAAGAAAAAATGGTTTCATGAGTCCTGCAATATCTTTTCACAACATATAATGTGAAACATTGCCACACTTCTATGTAATGAAAGTCCCAAGAATCTATAAAACAAAGACAAAAAACCAAATTCTATGTCTAGGAAACAAGATGAGAAATCCCCAGTCAGGTCTAATGAAACAAAACAATACATGTAAATGTTGGATGGAGTGTAATCTGGACTTTTCGGAACTTTGGGTATTCATTTCAATGCAATTCAGGTTTTGGCTGTGCCCCAGGGACCAAAAAAACATGGGATACTTTGATAAACACAACTCAGCATAAGACACCACTTTATCCATAAAAGCAAAAGTTACAAGTAACTGCACCTTAATCCATGAAACATTCTCAAGGCAAGCTACTTGTTTAAAGCCAAATAAGGAATCAGCAAAGCAATCTATACTCAATTTTGAATGAGAAGTTAGTTAATCCTACACAAATCATTCAATGGCCAATATAAACAGATCATTTCATCCTTTTGAGCAACCAACCTAAACAGACAATGGAATATAACCTTCAAACTGACCCACAGATCCACAACAACAATAGATTAAAATATTAGTATGATTCACATAGAAAACATGTATATTGAATTATCCCATTTAATAGGCTATAATTAATTAAAGAAATAGGACTTGTTAGTATTGTGTAAGGCGGTTTATGTTAATACTATCATTTTAAATATTGTTTCAGTTATTTATTTATATAAAAAGATAACTCCAAACTTGTTTTCATTATCTTAGTTAATGTATCAACAACAACCACACGGAATGCAATACTAATCCTAATTTGGGGCACAATACATGAAACAGTGCTGATTTTTTTTTTGATCGGTAACATTATTGATTTATGGGAAATAATGTGCTTATTGTACAAATATTGTTCCAAGCACCCCTATGCAACCTGGCAACCCCTGCTACCAACCCCAATACACCCTTTTATCCATACAGACTGGTAAGCTTGCCCGCTAGTAGTTACCCCTTGAGTTTTGTTCAGCCCTTGTTTGTCTATAGCATATGCCAACTTGTTCTCTCCCTTGGTATCTGCTGAACCTGAGCTCTTAGTTCCTCTACCATCTTTCTTATGTCTCGTAGCATATTTCTATATTTGAATGGGCCAGGATTGTCACATGATAAGCAGTCCAGAGTTATGCATGTGTCACATAGTTTGCAAGGTGTCTAGATGATTTTTGGCGACACTGGGGCGCCTAGTTGCCTAATCCACCCAGGCGACACCTAAGCGATGAAGAATTTTATAATATAAAGAACTAACTTTTGGCTAGTTCCCTAGTTTTATATGCCATTCAGCATGTATATTAATTGAAAAAATAGCAATTCTCTTTATTAAGAACATTAAGTTTCCTGTAAAAACGTGGAAAATCATCCATCCAAAAGATAAAAATCTTTTACATACATTGATTTCATTATTTTCAAAAATAATACTACTATAATATTTAATAGAGAAATTTCATACCAATTAGCAGCTAAAGAAGGTTATTAACTTCATAAGATAAATATTTAAGATGCAAAGTAAAATAGAAAAAACCAAGGATGGAATTCCTGTTTTATTTAATTAAAGAGAGAAAGTAGAAAAAAAAAACCTCTTTATATTTCTATTCTCTCTTTCCTCTTTCTTTTTCTCTCTTCAAAACCCTTTGATCTTTTAAATTCCAATAGTAAAACATTAAAACAGAGTATAAATGATATATATAGCATATAATAAAATGTATTAACACACATATTGATAAGATACAGCAATATAAATGATATTATATAAGACGCCTTGTCATTTTTGCCACCTAGGCAGGCACTTAGTTGCCTAGGCGATGCCTTGTCAACTATGATGTGTCGCCTTCCACCATAATATCTATGAAATTTGAAGGGCTAACAAGCTTTAAGCCAAAATGTAATGCTATTAATTCTGCTCTTAGAGAGTCTCCTTGATCTATCATACCTGAGTATGGTATTTACTAATCCCATACCCATCTCTAATCACCTCACAAATGCCTATCTTCAAGGATTTTCCATACTACACCCATCAAAATTCAGTTTCAGTTTATTCAACCTGGGAGACCACCAAAACCGAGCAACTGTTCTCTTTACTAATGTTGAGTTAGTTATATTATTCTAACCTCTCACAATGTCTTCCATTGAGAATGGTACAAATATTGGCAATGTTTTAACCCAATAAACCACTCTAATCACAATATTTTCCAAGGCCTCCTTAGAATGAACTTGTTCCTTGAATACTTTTACATTCCTTTCTTCCCATACTGTCCAAATTACTACTGATCTAGAACATCTCCATAGCAGTTTTCCTCTCCTTATTGGAAGCATGATCAAAGATTCTTCAAACATTCTGCCCACACCATCTAGAGCCACCCCCCCCCCAAACCAACCAAACAGTGAGAAAACATACTCCTAAATGCAGGAGGTAAAAGGCAAATGGGAAGTAGTTTCACCACTTGCTCCACATAGAAAGCAAATATGGAGGGAAAAAACAACAACCCTGTCTTCCTCTATGTAGCATTTCACAAATTATTGATTTTAGAATGAACCACCTCTCAACAAAACGCTTTAATTTTGAGTGAAATCAACCCTTTCAAGATAGCAATAGCCAAAAAACAATGGGGGAATGAGACCTGGAAAACAAATGAAAGAAAGATGTAGATATAAAAATTCCATTTGAGTTTGAGAACCACATTGATGGATCAAGAATGGCATCACCAAGAAACTGAATAAGGTCTGAGGCAAGTGATGCTTCTCCTCACCTTAACCCACTTCTCAACCCAAGATCCCAACAAATCCCTGATACAGAAAATGAGGCACAACCTTAAATTGTTTTGTTTCTATTGACAGAGTGGGAGTGGAAGGTTAGATATTTATCATTCAATGGGATTTCCCCCACCCAAAGGTCTTCCCAGATTTTTCCTTTATCCCCAAAGGATATACCAATTATTGTGTGGAACAAAAACAAAGTAAGATATTAAAAATGGATTTCCAAAGAGAGTCAAGTGTTGTTATAGAGGCTAATCCAGCCTCTCAACCATTTTTTGAGATTCTGTGGATGCTTTTGGTCACCACATACAGTTATCAATCAGTTAAACAGGTTCAGATTACAGAAACTAGATAACTGTGAGTGAACAAATGAGTTTCAGCATCAGCAGAAGAAGAATAGAAAAGAGAAGAAGGAAGAGAGAAGAGAGAAGAGGAGAGGATTTGAGAGAAACAGATGGTGGGGTTCAATGTGATACACTATTCCTTTTACTTTCTAATAATAACAGTCCAATTACAAATCTGCCCCTACTAAGGCGGCAGCAGTTACAACACCTTATAACAACTTAAAAATTACAGCCCAGCCCACTAATAACAGGCTCATAACTAAAAACAAATAAATGAGACATGATAATAAAAGGAAACCACCAACAAGATATAACACACCATAATTTGTTTGTGTCCAGAGGAAACCACCAAAACCATTTACCAAACAAGGAAAGGTTTCTAAGGTTCAGTTTGCCTAACCTTAACCCCCCCCCCCCCCCGAGCTCACATCGTCTGTCCCCGCCAATGAAATGTTGCTACGCCACCTTTTATTTTTGAAATTCAAATTTCACGGCGTCTAGAGTTAACAGCAGTCTGGATTCTAAAAAACACTAAATTTTATTAACCCGCTCAAGTGTCCTCCCATCTATATCTCTCATAAACTCTTCTTTTCTTCTTCCCTCATCGCCATTACAACCACTGCAGCCCCTCGGCCGTATCTCTTCCTCCTGCTCTGCTTTAGACTTAAGATTATCAGTAGAGCAACCCTACTTCAGAGTTCAGATTTATGGTCAAGAGCCCTAAGCCCTGAACCAGAATTTTGGTCCTTATCAATGATAATGAGATTTAATAAACAATAAACTCCAAATAACCACCACAAACACTGTTTTTTCCATATAAGATATGAATCAATTTTTAGTATTTATTGTGAACTCTCCTAGAAGGTCGTTTTAATATTTATTTATGAAACATTCACTGTTACAGGGAATTCTGAAGATGAAACTTTCACTAAACAGATGTCCCATGCCCACACGCATGAAAACATGCGAAAGGGTTTAGTGGTTACCTTCTTTTCATCTAGATCGGTAGGTGCACAGATGTAATCCATCAATTCATAACTAAGAAAATGAAATCCAGAATAAAGCTACAAGGACGTCACCAACCCCACTAGGCAAGAGACCCTACCAAAAGTAAGAATGAATCGGAGTTTCAATGAAGATCTCTGGCAYGCAATGGTGCTTGTTCCCTAAGTAGAAAGGGCAGAGGGATGAACTAGAGTTAGGGTTTGCAACAGGACACATGGATTTGAACTCCAAGGGTCCTCGAGCTCTGGAAGAAGAGAGTAACCTATCAGGAAAACAAAAAAGATAGAACATGAAAGTTGGTTGCAGTAGTTTCACGCCAGAAAGTGGTATAGCTCCTAACCGGCCAACTGGTTGCTGATGATCTCAAAGAAAGAAAACCCTAATACTCGATGGAGAAGAAAGAAGAATGAGAGAGAGAGAGAGGAGGAGAGATCGGTGAAAGGAGAGGAGGAAGAGAATTAGGCGGCAACTGGTTGTAGTGGTGGTGAGGAGGGTAGAAGAAAAGAGGAGTTTATGAGAGGTACGAAAGGGAAGAGAATTAGGCGGGTTAATAAAATTTAATATTTTTTCGGAGTCCAGACTACCGTTTAAATCCGGACTCCGTTAAATTAGAGTTTCAAAAATAAGGCAGCGTGGCAGCATTCCATTGGTGGGGACAGAAAATTTTTTGTCCCCTAGGGACAGACGATGTGAGCTCCCCCCCACTCTTTGCTTTTGCTCACAGTGCTCCAACTAATCAAATGATCCTTTTTCAACTCTCCTAGCTCCCATAAGAAATCCCTCATTATTTTCTCCAACCTTTTTGCCACCTTGACTGGAATTTTTAAGATAAATAAAAAATACTCAAGAATATTTGCAAAGATGAGTTTTATAAATGTTATGTTGCCTTCCAAAGAGACATAGTTCTTTTTCCAAGAAGCCAATTTCTTCATATATTTCTCCAGGACAGGGTTCCAAAAGTTAATCAACCTTGGGTTTCCTCCCAAAGATAGCCCAAGATAATTCAAAAGCCACTCAGAAATAAGACAACCCAAAATGTTAGCATAGTATCCAACCTCAACCTTACTCAAGTTTATCACTACCAAACAGCTTTTCCCAAGGTTGACTCCTAAATTGGAGATAAGTTCAAAACAACTCACAAATCACAAGGATTTGAAGGTTATGCAACTGATGAAGACTAATATCCTCACAAGTCATAACAGATGATAATATCATCCAGAAATTGCAGACAAGAAAAAACAACCATTCATAACCCACTCTAAGCCTTTAATCAAACCACAACTATTAGATCAAGAGATGAGACCACCAAGAACTTAGCTACCAAGGTGAACAAGAAAGGAGATAAAGGGTCACACTTCCTGAGTCCTTTCTTAGCCGGAAATAGATCCTTGGTAGAACCATTCATTAAAATCTAGTGGCAAGATTTGACAAGATTTGAGACACCCTTTTATCCAATTGCTCCAATGCATTCTAAGCCCACATTCATTCAACACTAGATCCCATAAATCTCATCCCCTCCTTACCTCTTCTCTTGAAGTCTTGGAGGCATTTATTGGCAATAAGGATTTGATCAATTACTTGTCAGCCTTAAACAAAGGCACCTTGGTTTTGTAAGATTATGGAAAAAGAAGACCATCTTGATTCTAAGGGACAGGACCTGTAATTGCTTTGTAGAGACTTCCCACAAGGATTATGGGTCTAAAAGTCCTTTGGATGATTCACACCGTGTCTCTTTGGAATGAGAGGCACAAAATTAGCATTTGCTTCAAAGTTAATAATCCCTCTCTTGTAGAACTCTTCAAATATAAGACCATTCTTTATAATGTCCCAACATTCTTGAAAAAAATCCTATTGAGAATAGTTGAGTTTTGGGCTGATATAACGTTTTTTATTTACATAGCATAGTTAGGGAGTTATTGGGCCTTAGGCCCATTAGTTTATGTTTCAAGTTAAGAGTGTTTTTAAGTTCTCACAAGTAGCCAACTTACTTAGGGCATACTTGTCTTTGTACTCTCTTTTATTTACGAGTATATAATCTAATGAAAAGGGCGGCCAGACCTAATTCGGAGTTTCTCCCATTCTCTTCTCTCTTCTCTCTTTTTCTCAGCTGAAACCTTTTCTTCTCTTTCTTTTCTTCTTTCTTTAACAGCTTTTATATCAAAACAGGTTGTCCAAACTTTTCTACTAGGATACATCCAGTCCTAGATAAATTTCCCAACACAAAATGATATTCACTACATAAATGAGCCAGCAAGCCATCAACATTTTTTTTTCAAATAGCAACTGGGTTGCTAACATCTTAAAAGACCAAGGATGAGTTGATGGCTACGCCAAACACATTCATTTCAGACCAGGCAATGGCCATGATATCCTTTTTTGAAGGGACACTAGGTGTGGTCGGGRCCCTCTGTGTGAAGCATCCCTAACTCTGTTTGGCATCACAATCCAAGAGAAGGATAAGGTCAGTGGCTACTTTCAAATGCAGGGAGATCGTGTGCACCCCAACACTGAGAAGAAACATCCATGATCGGGAGTTACAGGAGCTAGCTTCGTTCATGGAAGCCATTAATAAAGCCCAGCCCAATGGTGAGCAGGAAGATCAAAGTCGCTGGAGGGTGGGCCAGAAAGAAAGCTTCATAGTAAAATCATGCTTTATTAATCTTTGGCAGGATGAAAGGGAGAAGGTGGAGTGGAGATGGATCTGGAGATCTAAGGTACATCCAGGGTGATCTTTTTTTCCTGTGAACACAGTGCTGGATAGAATCCTTATCCTTGACAAGCTGCAGAGTAGGGGTGTTCAGTTGGCAAACAGATGCAGCCTGTGCATGAGCCATCTAGAGACTGCTTCCCATTTGCTAATTCAATGTAAGGTTGCCCAAAGCTGTTAGTCGCACTGTCCAAAGCTGTTTGGTGTGCAATGGGTGACTCCAAAAGACTTGCAGGCTCAGTTGGTGGTGTGGCCAATGACAGGTTTTAGCAGAAAAGGTGTTATCTTCTAAAGAATAATTACAGGAGCAATCAGCAGGTGCTTATGGCAAGAAAGAAACAACAGAATCTTTAGAGACAAGTCAGGCCATTGAGCAGCTGAAAGGAAAAAATCAAATATCAAATGACTTTCTGATCAAGAGCTTACATGGAGTTTTTTGTTTTAAAGTATTCATTTATAGAATCAGTGGTATAGTATTATTCTTGATTCAGCTGATAGCTCTGACTAACTTTTTGTATAGCAGCAAGTGTTCCTCTCCCTCCCTATCTTTAACACAAATACTCACCTTTCAAAAAAACGATAAAATCTTAACAGCAAGCCATCAACCTAGGGTTTGAAGTACGGGTGCAACTAGGGTACCGACCATCATTGTCATCATCATCCAAGCCTTGTCCCAACAATATGGGGTTAACTACATGAATCCTGTTTCACCATTCCATTTGTTCAGTGCCATATCCATCATTAAATTATAGATGCTTAAATCATTTCTTATTACTTCCACCCAAGTCCTTTTCGACTTGCAACACAGGTACCCTGTTTGAAGAAGAATTTAGACAGCATCAAGCCTGAGCCCATTCAACTTTTAACAAATGCTCAATCCGAGCTTGCCCAAGTTGAACCCCTAGTTCACAGGTTAGCAAATAAATTCACTGACAATATGGCTATGTTTTGGTGATGGTTGTAAAAGAACTACTTGTAATTACTAAGGGAGAATAAGTGTGAATCCTTAACCTGCTTGCTGAACCTCTTAGGGCAGATCCACCTGGACACTTCGTTGGAAGACTCAAGAATCTGGGTAGGCTCTCCAGATGGCCTCTTTTCTTGCTCCTCTTTCTTCAAAGTACTTGCTTCCCCCAATCCTCTAGGTGGGACATTCCCTGTGAAAGAAATCTGGTGCAAGCCTATTCCCCTGAAGATCCAAGCTTTCTGTTGGGAAGTATTCCTTGGTAAGGTAAATACTTGTGATATGCTGCAGAAAAGAAGGCCATATATGTGCCTTTCTCCTCATGTGTGTTCACTGTGTAAGGAAAGTGGTGAGACCCTTTCTCATTTAATGATATCCTGTTCTTTTGTGTATCGAATTTGGGATTTCTTTTGTACTCTCTTTGCCTGCAGGTGGGCTCCCCCTAAAGATGTGGCAGGACTCTTCAACCATGATTTCTTGAGACAGAGAAAGAAAAGAGGGATGGTAATGTGGAAAGCAACAAAGGCAGCAATTTGTTGGGTAATATGGGAAGAGAAACAACAGAATTTTCTTGGAAAAAAGTAGAACAGTAGAGGAAGTGATTGATAATATCGAGGTGAAAGTAGCTCATTGGGCAAAACTCTCAGACTGCTTTCAAGTCTTCTCAGTCACAGATATTCTAAGAACATGGTTCGAAGTAACACAATCTTCGAGAGTAAGAGATAAAGTAAGGCCAGAGTGGAAACCACCTGAAGGCAATAAAGTAAAGCTGAATTTTGACGGGTGCTCATATGCATGGTTCAAAGTAACGATATGACATGCCCCGTATCGGGCATATTGTATCGTATCTTTTGAAAACGATACGATCCAAAACGCCTGTTTCCAGGTGTTTCGGACCCCCAATTTTTTTAATAATAAAAAGCATGCTAAAGCTTCCCAAGAAACCAAAATTTGAAAAAAAAAACTAAAAAAAATAGAGTTCCGGCCGTTTCTAAGTGTCGATACGATACGGCCGAAACTCATATTGTATCGATACTTTGAACCTTGCTCATATGGAAATCCAGGCATCTCAGGAATAAGAGGAGTATTAAGAAACCCTGACAAGAGGATATTGGGTATATTCTCAGGACCGATTGGCAACAGAAACTCGCTGAAGGCTGAACTATTGGCATTACTACAAGGGTTAAAGCTAGTCAAACAACTAGGATGCAAACATGTTGAAGTGAAAGAGGATTCAGAAGTAGTAATTCCATGGGCAACAAATAGCAGCCACACCCCATGGACGTTTAAACATGTGATTAGGGAAGTGGAGAAGATTGACAAGGAGGTTGAGGCTGAATTTAAATGGGTCCGAAGAAGTGCAAATGGGCTAGCTGATGGATTAGAAAAACAAGGGGCATTGAGACAGCAATTATTTTGGGCTACACTGTAATGAGGGATGAATAGAGTGAGGAAAAGGGATCAACAGTCCCATCATCAAATTGTATAAAATGCTTACAATCTGAATTTTAATAAAACACATATTTACTGATAAAAAAAACGAACTACTTGTAATTAGGGAAGGGAAGTTCTAGATAGAACCACTAGCCTAAACGTAAGGTGTGCTTCTACTTAGTGTACATAAATCATTTTTTACTCATAAGCATTAAAGTTTAACTAATAGCAATCACACATACTAAAAAAAAGGACCATGATAGCACATATAACATACCAAGCAAAAGCATTTGAAGAAGGATATACATAAGATTTCTCATAGATTGAAGCAGCTGCAGTAGCAGCTTGGAGTCTAGCATAATGCTGCCTCAGGTTATCATCCACTACACCATCTGCTGAACCCTGAGATGATGTACCAGCAGCTCCTGTTTCTGGTCAAAGTGGAAAGAAGTAAAGCTATTAGAAAGAAAGTTGGATCCATTTCTAGTATTTGATTTGTTAATCCCTAAATACTAAAAACTAGAAATGATCAACTCATCCATCTATCCATAAACCGCCACAGTTAAGAAGAAATAGTAATGGAACAACTCAACGTCATTAGAAGTATGACAAAGAAATCAAGCCAGTAAAGTGAATAAAAAGCTTACCTTGTTGATGAACCTCAGTGTGTATTCCCTGTTGCCCTCCAGCTGTGGTTGTCACATTCTCGGGTGGAACAACTAATGCTCTGCATGTTGGGCAAGTCTGTTGCCGCTCCAACCATGATCGAAGGCAATGCACATGAAAAAGGTGGCCACAGATGAGCTTCTTGGCTGTTATCATCTCCTCACGACAAATAATGCAGGTTGCATCACTCCTGCATACCCATCACAATTATTTTACAATGCTTAACGTAGTGACCTAATTAAAAAGTACAGGCCTAAAGAGGAAATCAAGTAAATGGCTCACGCATTAAGTTCTTCAGGTGTTGCATCAGGGAAGCGGTCATTCATGTTTGAAGTAATTTTCCGGTACCGAATATAATCAGCAACCCGGACCTTGAAGTTACGAAAAGTCTCATAAAGCTCTCGAATCAAATGTAATGGCACACCATAGTTCCTAAGGAAAGAAACACCAAATTCAGTAAAACATGAAACGAAAAGATTAATAACTGGGAAAAAAGCAATTTTTCTATAATTAGGAAAAAACAAGTATATTAACAAAGAGAACCAATTTAACAGGAACAGACGACTGTACAGTGGCCTATGAATATCAACTCCTTGCAAGAAACAAAGCCCGAGGCATGGACAATTACCAAGCATTTTTTCTTTTGAAGATCAATAAAGAAAAACAAAATTATTCATAAAAAAGGTGGTATTTTGTTTACTCATAAAACAGTTACCAAGATAATTCAGGTGGTACTTGGTTTAACGGGAATAAACAAAATGTATATCTAGGTGATGCAGGATCTGAAGTGTCAAAATTGGAATTTTGTGAAATTTTATGTACTTCTGTATTTTTTTGGACACCGGAGATAATTTTGCCATTTTTACAATTTTTCTGTAGGGTCCAATAATAGGGTTTGATTGTCTATTTATGATTTGTTTATGTTTAAAATTTCAGAGTCATTGCATAAGTGGGATAGAGTTCTTGAGTCTTCTTTGAATTGAAATAGGATATGATGGCTTAGTTTGAGTCCTACTAGGATTACTGAGTCTAACAGTTCGATCCTAGGACTATGAGTCTAACAGTTTGATTCCTAGGATTATTATGAGTTTACAGTCTATAAATATGTATGGATGTTTTACACAAAAAAAAAAAAGCAATGAAGTTTATTGAGTTTTCTTCTGCTTATGCTAATTATGGTGAGTGATTCCCATACCCTAGAGTGATTCTAGGCACCCCATGAGTGATTCCAGGTATTTTCTCTCTTTTTTCTATTCCTATTTTCTTTCTTGTTCCTTCAAGAAGCCATTACAGCCATCAACAGCCATAATTTCTGATCAAAGGTCATTCAACGTTCCCTAAGGACTAGAATTGAACCGGTCCTACATCACTAGGTGTTGTGTGCACCCACTTATTCAAACACAAAACCCTTCAAAAAACTAGGGTACAAATGTACAATGACTGGCTTTTCTCCCTAAAAGGTTCAACCTGTAAGTAGACCTGTTCATGGGTCGGGTAGCCCGACGGGCCGGCCGRTCCGACCCCCAGACGGGCTTGCGCATGAACTTTAGCCCGTGGGCTTGACAGCCCAACTATTTTACGGGTCGGGCTTGGGATTTGTCACAAAAGCCCGGCCCTCTCTCTCTCTCTCTCTCTCAGAGTTCTCACTCGCACGCACTCACATATTCTCAAGATTCAGGAACCGGCGAACTCAGGCACCGGCGCCACTAGTGAACTCAGTCGCCCCTCTCTCTCCGGCGATGAATCTTCTCTCTCTCTCCACCATTCCTCTCTCTCTTGTCTCTCTCGCAGTTCTCATTCTCATGCATTGTTGCATATTCTCATGAACCAGTGAACTCAAGCATCGGCAATGGCGAACTCAGGCACCGGCGCTAGCCGCACCACTAGTGAACTCAGTCACCCTGCATTTCAACCTCTGTTAGGTCGGGCTTCGGGCTCGGGCCCAAGTTGTAGGCCCATTTCGGGCCGGGCTCGGGCTCAAGCCTGAAAAAATCTTGTTAATGAAGAGTAAAAGCCCGGCCCGAGCCCGGCCCGGCCCGACCCATGAACAGGTCTACTTGTAAGTTAGGTCTCACACAAGAATATATCAAAGTAAATTTCTTAATAAGTACTACACTCAAGAACTCTCATCAAAGTCATACTGCTAAGCCAAAATCAAATTGCCCGTGCATTATATTGGTTAGCTTTCCCAATATGATGACCTACGCTTGAACTAAATTGTAACGTTTTTTCTTAATCCAATGTTTATAAATGCAACTAAACCAAACATATAGGCCAAGCTCCTTCAGTTGGGTTTGGGAAGCGCTGCAAGTTGCATATGGCAAGTAGATTGTTCTTGATCAACTGCTCCATGAGGTCTTCACAAACATTGTGATAAAGCCAAGAAAGTGGTTATTCACCTTAACATGGACTCATTCAGACATTGAAAAGTTCAGTTTTCGCTATACACTTACAAAGAATTCTTCTACAAGGGAGGGGGAAGGAGAGGAGGTAACTGTGCACTCCCCTCAAATTGTTCGAACTGATTCAGAGGTAATACAATATGGGGAAGTAAATATAGAAAAGTTGGTAGAGAGAGGTTCAGATTGGGAAATCACTTGGATTAGTCTTCTGGGGAGGGGAAGGTTTTGCCAAAATAGTGTTCGAGTAATTCGAGCAGAAGAAGAAAGAAGATAGAGAGAGAGAGAAAGAAAGAGAAATCCTAGAGAAAAACAAGGGGTGGAACGAGGAAGAGGAAGAAGAGGAAAATTTGGACGAGAACAAGTAAAGAGGAGTAGGACAGTGGGAGGGAAGGGAAGAGGGATGAAGATTCTCAGTTGGAATGTGAGAGGTTTGAGGGATGGGAAAAGATGGGAAATGGTAAGAAATCTAATTAGAAACACCAAACCAGATATGGTGTTGTTCCAAGAAATAAAACTGGAAAGTTTTGACTTGAGATTAAAACTGGATATTTGGGGAGAGGAGGGTGGAGAACGGGTGGATCTACAAGCTTCGAGATTGTTAGGAGGGCTTGTGATAATTTGGAGTTCAGAAGTCTCCAAAGTTGATTTATTGGAAAATTTCTGGAATTCATTTGAGTTACAGCCTTGTAATGTAGATGCATTCTCAGTTTAATGTTCTGGACATGTAATTGAAGTATATACTTGATGTTGTTGGTGTGTCATCTAGACAACCAATGTGATAGGATGTAACCTTCTCTTTTTATAAATTTTCTTTCTTCTTGATTCTTCAAAAAAAATAAATAAATAACTCTTCTACCAAGAGGAAGGCCAAATTTTAGTCACATGAAAAATTTTGGTTAACCAAACTTCAGGTTTTAATAGGAGATTCCTACTCAGGATTTTAAGCAAGAGGAAGTTGAATAAAATTCTCTACATGAGTAGACAAATGTAACAATTGTCAGTTTCGTAGTTTCAATTGCTAAAAATGGTGTTACACTTATAATAGGTATGTTCAAAGAGGCCCTTGCCAATATTTATGTAATTGGATAGAAATGGTTTAACACATCAGTTTTATTTTGTGTCTGTGTATAACGAAACATGCACACATCATGCATATAAATAATTGAGATTGATGCTAGCTGAAGCCAACCTCATATAGATAGGACAAGGTTTAGATGATGATGATAGATTGATTGCCAGGGGCCATGCCAATAATGAGAAACTCATGCACATATATGCATATATAAAATGCATTTGTAAGTGTCTGCAAATGCAAGTATATGTATATTCTAATAAAGGAAAATGAAGGTTAGGCATTATATGCATACTATATCTGCATCTACAATGTATACCTCAAAAGAAAAACAGTCTTTTGAAAAGAAATGACTGTTTAGAAAGTTGCAAAAATTCAAAAGGAAGTAGCAGAAATCAGAGTTCAAGATGAGAGAATAAGAAGAAGAAGGTGGCGGCAACTTGGGTTTAGAGAGAGAGATTTTTCGAACATAATCTCTTCTCTTACTCCCTTAATTCTATTTCATTAAGTTAAACTTTAGTAATTTACAGAGAGGCCCCTAGTTGTGCAGAAAATTAAAAAGACATAACATAAGAAAGAATAAAACCCAGATTAAGGCCCATTACAGCAAAGAACATAAAAGATAAAAATGATAAACAGCCTATGGGCCATTCGGCCCATCTTCTCTACACTCCCCCTCAAGCTGAGCATAGATGTCAATCATGCCAAGCTTGCCAGTATCATGCTGAAGTTTAGCCTTGGGAAAGCCCTTGGTAAGGAAATCAGGTAACTGTCCTTCAGAGGTGATGAAAG